ACATCAAAATTCCGGTGCAATACAGAGGAATCGTTCATGTATTAGCTGGCACTGATGTTATGCAAGAATTGCGCCAAGTGAGCTTCAATCCATGCTCGTCAACCCTAGTAAGAGTTTCGTTCACAATCTAAGAAAGGGTCTTGCACAACAGACGAGTATATATCTCAGTCGAGACTTTGGACTGGCTCACATTAGAAAGCCACAGCAGCCCATCGTTGCTTGACTGATCAGGAGAATCGATGTGTTGTTTGCTTCAGAGCGCCTAAGATCAGCAGAAGTCAAGGTGCTCAAACAAACTGAAGGCAAATCACAAATTGAGCTCCAGGTCTGGTATCGCTTTGCGCCTCTTGAAGGGATGCCGGGCAATAGTGTCAACTTCAAGTGCATTGCATTCTCAATCAGCACAGGCTGATGAATGCGTTCCACACTGCTCCTGGGAAGTATCTGAGGATCTTTGCGGACCCCTATCAGCTGCAGAAGGCTATCTTGGGTCTTCGGCAAAAGCAGCTTACCATCCCTGACAGCCTCGCGACTGCTACTGTCGCCGCTGCCGATGCGCTCACTCAATGTCAATATTTCGACCTTCCTTGTGGAAGAACTGAAGTGCAATTGCTGCAAAGAGGTTGTTGATGCCCCAAGATGGAGCAACAAGCCCATTAATCACATTTCCGAGAACCCTAGAGAACATTTTTTGAATTGCCACTCTGGGAGCGATAAGATTGGGCAAGGAAGATTGATCCATGTCAGAGCAAGGGATGAGTATCACCCCTTGTCCAAACAACGAATTGCTAGTACAATTTGGCACAAGGATGACCTTGAAACACATTTCCTGATCATTGACAGACAGGCGCCCTACGTTGTTATGACTGGTAAATGTGAGGATGTTCCCGAACTAGTGAAGCTGCAGAGTGTCCAGACATTTCTCAGCCAAAATGAAGCCTTTCAAGGTTGGAGATTGCCAGAAAACCTTCCTAAGGCTTCCCAAGAGGATGAAGACTTTACTGCTGAACTGGGATCTATCCAGTACCTGCTTGTCCGCATTACTGGTAAGACTGAACTAGAGATCCCGCTAGTTCTCAAGAACGGCCAACATCTCGCTTGTCATCCGGGATCTTCTGCGAGTAACAATGTTCTCGTCTCCCTACATCAGGGCGCGCTTCTATTCCTGCCACGATGTCACTCATGTGATATCATCAAGTTGATAGGGATTAATACTAGCGTCATCTATGCTTTTAACATCCACACTGATGATAGACTTAAGGCTACTGCAGCCAATAAGCCGAACAAAGCCAGATGTGCCAATCATCAGGATGGGAAGTCAAGCAAGGTTGCCATGGAGCAATCGGATACTGCCCAGTGCCCGACTTTGCTCCATGGAAAGCCTCCTGCTGTTAAAGGTGATGATACGGCTGCCAATATGTTACCGGAAAATCCTGCCTCAGCACAGTTGAGTCAAGAAGGTGGGACTGGCAAAAGAAATATTGAGAGTAGCAAGGAAAAGGTTGAGATTGCTAGAAGACGTAATACTGTCCTAAGGTTCCAGGCGGAAGTCCCGGCCAACGTTCAAGAAGAAGTGCAAAGGCGCATTGCTGGCCTTTATTGCCCTGTTGCTGCTGCCTATCGGGTCATCTCGTGTGCTCAATGGAACAAAGAGCAATGCCAGCATTACGCCCCCTTTCCTAAACAAGCAGCTCTTGTCCTTGCTGCGGTTGGATATAATATACGTGAGGCTGCTCGAGCCAAGCTTGCACATATACTTGGTCTGACCTATCTTCAATTGGCAAGTGCTACACCGTTGGAGCTTCAAAGCTTTACTGAGGTGTATAGTAAGGCCATTTGGGCTATTCCGGCCAAGGAGCAATACACCATGCTTGTGCAGATCCACTGCAAGTGCTCCATGTGCCAGCAGCCACAGCCCATTCTTGCTCTGCCGTTGCATTCTGAACAGGACTCCTCTGATCAGATCAGTATCCTCGCTGATCTAGGTCAACTTGCTGACCTTGCGATTGCGTGCATGCAGCAAAACTTGAGCCCTCGCAATGACACGTGCAAACTTGCCATTCAAAGACTCCCGTCTTTCTTCTGCCTTCTCACACAGAAGACTCAGAAAAGCTCTTTTGCGCAAGTCTGCAAAAGCGAGGCGGATATCCAAAGCTTTCTTGGCAGTACGGTATCAGTCATGCAACAGGCATATATTGTCGTTGCACTCGTTCTGCATGATCCTAGTGCTAAGCACTACCTAGTGCTACACCATGCCAAAGAACAAGCAGGAGACTCAATTCTTCTTTATGACTCAATCTACGGAGTCCGTAAAGAAAATTTGTGGGCGCAATTGATTAAGGCTGAGCACTACATTGAAGCCATCTTCATCAGAAGTGTTTGTGCCAATCAGCTTTACCCCGCCACTGCTCTCATTAACTCTTTTAATGAGATTATCCGGCATCATGCTGATCCCAGTGAAAACGCAGAACAGCATATCAGTAGTGAAACACTCACTATTGAGCAAGCTAAGATAACGAAGGTTGCAAGCTGGGACAGCCCTGTCCCTTCTGCAACCTATATGACCATCACCTCAGAGGATGATTTTGGCTTGCCTAATCCGTCCTGTGCCCATCTTCTGCCACAAGCCGAGGAATGTAAAAGCGGTACTGAATTTACTCTCGCCCAAAAGGGCAAACTCGATGAGGAGTCAGAACACCAAGCCAGTGTTAGTCTCCAACCCGACCCTAGTACTGCTCTGGCGACACAACTTGATAGTGCATCTCTTCCTGAAGTGCACTCCATTGCTACTGATTCCGATGAGGAACAGAGACCGCAACAACATGAAGTTCAAACTGCGCTGAACTCTGAGAAGAATGGCTCTGATAGGGGCAGCCAGCCCCTTAAAGCCAAGCCCGACTTGAGCTCTGATTCTCAGATGCGTAGAGTCAAGAAAAGCCTCGATAAGCTTAACAATGCCAAGCCTGTCTCCAAGAGAAAAGATGGTAAAATTGGAAGCAGGAACAATCAAATTAATGCTGTCTCGTCGGAAGACTGCATACAGGTCGCACTTGGTGTTGAACGTTACATCATCTTATCGCTTTTTGATGGATGCGGAATATCACGTGCTGTCACCGTTGAATGCCTCAAGCAACAACCTGTTGCGGCTGTGAGTGCAGAAAGTGACAGCGTCCTTCGCGCCCTCATATGCCATAAGTATGACTATGACAAAAGCCAAAGATGGGCTCTTGACTCGCACCGTGTGCCATCGATCGCAATTGATGACGTTTGGACTCTACTTAAAGAGGATTACCGATTGCTGCGTGAATGTTTGTCCTTCCTGGGAAGGATTCATCCACAAAAAACAGCCATCATCATTCCCGCCGGTTCCCCCTGCCAAGATCTCACGGTTGCAGGGTCCAGCTCAGGTGGATTAGGACTTCTGGGAGACCGCTCGCAACACATGCTTGTCTTATACGCGATTTTGCTTGCATTCCAAAGCATTGAACCCAGTATCCTTCAGTGCGTGCACATCTTCCTTGAAAATGCTGGGTCTATGAAGCCCATCCACCAGGGCTTCATTCAGCAGATCTTCGGAATACGTGATTGTTGCTGCCATCATATTGCTGGAGCTACATTCGGCCATGTTGAAAGGAAAAGAAAATTCTTTACTAGATATGGGCAAATTGGCACCTTCAGCAATCGCCCCACTCCGTGGTTCCAAGGATGGCGTCCTGTTGCGGAACACATGTGCGGAATAAAACCCCCTGGCGAAAAGCTCAAGCCTTGGCTTCGTCCCAAACGCTTTGATCGCGAGAGGGGGCTTCGATTGGCTGCATACTTTTACCACCCCTCTGCCCTTCTTTACCATGTACCCAGCTTCGGCGGACCTGAAGCCTTCCAGAGGCAATTCTCACAAGCGGCTAATACCTCCAATGGGGTTCCAAATCTACAATGGGAAAAATTTGTTCCTGATGGACCCATTGGCCTGCGCTTTGTAACAGATGTTCAGAAGCTTTCTCTTCAAGCGGACGTCCCAAGCCTTGCAGCAATGGATCGCTTTGCTGAAGCTAATTACGAACTTCTCCGTGCAGAAAATGCTTTCCTTATCGGTGATAGTGGCATTCCTCCCTTCAGGGTTGCTCACTACAAGGAAATGTTGAGAGATGCTGAGCTCGATATCTGGCTTGCAGATGTGGAAGAACACATTAATGATATGTGTATTGCTTCCATTGTTGGGAACTGCTTCTACCCTGGTGCTCTCAAAGCTGCGATCAAACACGCATCCCTTCGAGAGTTACTGAATGAAAACCCCGACAGTCATTGGAAGCCGCTTCCCCTCTCACAGTTTCTCCAATACTGGCCTAGCTATGGCCAACAAGTTCTTGCTGCTACTACAGCTGTTAAGCTACAAGACAAGTTTTCGCATAAGTTTCATGCGCCTTTTCCATGCGATGAACTTAATGCTGTTGGCTGGCTCAAACAAGGTTTAATTGTCAATAAACCTGTTGTTCTGGAGTATACCCCCGGCCAAGGTAAATTCCAAGGCATTAGAGAGAGCGCGTCCGGCATTCCTAGAGGAATTTCCTTTGTGACGGAAACTCGATTCCATCAAACGCAAGACTTATTGCAAGAAAAAGGGATCCCATCGGCCATCCAGCGTGTCTTGCAAATTGTCGACCCTCAATTACGGACTTCTTCACGGAACGTGACGGTCCTGTCTTGGAAAGAAAAATTATACTGGAAGTGTGTGTGGGTGTGTGTGTGTGTGTGATGAAAGTGCGAAAGAATGAAAATGTTTTGGCGGGTGATTTTCAGGCTTGCATGGATTTGACATTTCTGTTTGCGTGGGCATGACATGTCAGAATGCTTGTCTCCGTGCTAGTCTGGGCTCATGTGTCATGCAGCTGGGTCGTGTCTGGCAAACACATGTGCACATCGTTGTCGAGCGACATACATACATGTCATAGCAGTCACGGTCAGAGCTGCATTGCTTTCACTTGAGCCTAGCCTCCTTTTGCATGGGCGCCAAGCATCGTGGAAAGGCGGCCGCTGCAGCGCCTCTCTCGCTGGGCATTTCTGCTGGATCCCGCGATGCCAAGTGCTCGTGCGCCGAGTTTTGCCTGGGTCTTGTGCTGGGCGTGGGCCTTGTTGTGGCACTGCTGTGCGCGCTTTGAGGTCACATGCGTGTTGGTGCTACATTTGCCGCTGGCAGCTGCTGTCAACTCGCCGGTGGGTCCCCGCGAAGGACCCTTGTCTGAGGAGTCCGACTCGCCACGGCCGGATCCTGATGGTCATGAACCTGAGTTGGTTCTGGTGGCTGCTGCTGCGGAAACTCCTGGACCCCGGGTGCATCGTGGTCAGGCCTGTGAAACGTTGCATCGCCTTTCCGGGCTGAGCTGGCGAGTGATCGAGCAGTGCAGTGAAGCCGATTTGCAAGCCTTGGCTCGCTTGTGCCTGCCTGGCAATTTGGCTGGCATGCCACCTGCTACCCGTTCTCTGCTGTGCACGATGGCGCAGACGCCCCTGGCGGAGATCACATGGGTGCAGCCGACAACGACGCGCCCTGCTGCACATGAGCAGGCGATGGCATCTTCGAGCTCTGCGTCTTTTGACATGTGCTTGCAGGCCCTCGAGAATCGACTTTCGGAGCTGGAAGGAGTGGTTGGGACAGTGGTGACTTCCTCTAGACCACTTCGCCCTATTCTGACACGTGTTCGCGATGTGGAGCTCGAGCTGGCTTCTAGGACTTCTTGAATCAGGACCTGCTCCGCCGGCTACGTGGTGCATTTCTGAGCATTCGCCTCCTGTGTTTCTCGACAAGCATTGTACAGTCTGCGCTTTTTCAGCAGAGGATTTTGCAGAGAGCGCTCCGTTTGGACATGCAAACAGGCCTCGTTGTTTGGGAGTGACGTGCTGCAGTGCCTTGATGTGCTTGGGCCTTCGTGCCACACTGTCGGCTTGCTCCCGAACAAGCATGCTTCAGCCGTGGGCTCGGGGCACAGAAGCGGTGGGCTTCGACCCGCTTCTCCAGGACATTTGGCCTCTTGAATGCCGTCGTGCATTGCGTGCTGCGCTCTCTAAGGCAATTCTGCTCCGCTGCCAGGACACAGCGACGTTCCGGTCCGGGAAGGACTCCTGTTCTGCAATGTGCCTTTGAGCATCCCATGGAAGCTTTCGCCTTCGCACACTCCTGTTTGCCATGCATGCGCCTTTGAGCGTTGAACGGCAGCCTTTGTCTTTGCACATCTCCCTTGCGTGCTGGCTCAGATTTTGTGGCCGGAAAAAGGGGGGATATGTGTGTGTGGGTGATTAGTTCTACATTTTGTCTTGGGTTAGGTGGCTGGGGGTCGTTTTCTTCTGGTAATGCCATTGGCCTCAGCATGGAACTGCTGCGGGCTGAGCAAAGTCAGCGGAAGCGGCCGAAACACTGGTGGGAAGATTCCCGTGCGGGACCTCAGCTGCGGACTTTGATTCAGGTGGTGGCAGCGTCTGGCCCGAGGCTGGGCAGGTCTGAGCACCTGCTGGCGAGCGTTTCTGAGGAAGAGACGGCAAGGCCGGAGAATGAGGCTCGGCTCCCGATCATTCCCTATGCAGCTCGTCGTGCGAAGTTCCTCGATTGGCCTGACGAGCAAGACGACATGAAGAGGCGTGCGCTTCACATCGTGCGCGTTATGCTTGAGTCGGACTTCGGTGCTTCCAACTTGGGCAGCTTGATCTACGAACTTTCTGGTGTCTTGGAGAAGGAGCATCAGATACAGAGGTCGATTGAGCTTACCTTTGCGAAGAAGGCTCCAGCTACTTTGCTTAAAAGGGCGTTGTCAATGTGGAAGTTGTTCAAGTGGCATGCCAGATCGGGCTATGTTCTGGGGCTGCGCATTACAGAGCAGTCACTCTTTGATTATCTCGAAGATGTCAAGAAGAATGCGGCGCCAACTAGTCTTCAAGCTACACTTGAGGCCGTGGCATTTTTCCACTCGCTGCTTGGTTTGGCATTCCAGTTGGATGCGGTCATATCTCATCGCGTGCGGGGTTTGGCACATACTGCGCTTCTACAAAAGCGGCCACTTAAACAAGCTCGGGCGCTGCTGGCACAGGAAGTGCTCTGGTTGGAAGAGGTGGTCTGTACGTCCTTGGACACCGCCGTTGTCTGTGTGGCTGGTTTCCTGCTTTATGTCTTATCCAACTGTGCGCGTTGGGGCGATGCGCAGGCTTCGACACTTCCCGAGCTGGATGGGACTGGCGAAAGATGCATCCTCACATCGGACACAACGAGGCACAAACTTTCGACTACAGCCCAGCGGAAAACTACCTTGCTGCCGTTTGCGGCGTTTGGACGACTTCTTCATACGGCTGCATGGGCGGAAAAGTGGCTTTCTGCAATGAAGCGGGCGCGTCTTCCTCGGCAGGGGGTGGATTATCTCCTCCCCAGCTGGAATGAGTCGACAGGAACGTTTTTGAGGAGACGTATGACTAGCGGCGAAGGCTCCCTTCATCTTCGTGAAGTTCTGCGTCAGAAAGGGGGGCAGGTGCAGCTTCTCTTGCCGTCTTCGCACTCCCTCAAGGCTACTCAGCTGTCCTGGATGGCGAAGGCAGGTACGTTCTCGCTCAGTGAACGCCAAATACTCGGACATCACCTTGACCGTCCCTCGGTGAGCGCACTAACCTACGGACGCCAAAACTTCATTGGACCGCTTCAGAAGCTGCGCGAGCTGCTCTCGAACGTGGTGTCGGGCAAGTTTCGCCCCGACGATTCGGCATCTGCTCTTGTCAGTCGGCAGATACAAGATGAGGAGCTTGAGGCCGACGAGTGTGAAGTGGCACTGCATGGGGTGGCGCATCGTCCCGATGATTCGGCGTCGGAGGACTTGGCTGATGATGAACTACAAGGCTCGGTGGGGCATGTTGTGCCCGAGGCGGAGCGAAGGCATATCCGAGCTCCGGATCCCCTCATCTATCGCCAGCATTCTTCTTCCGGGACGCTACATGTGCTTGCGGCTGGAGGTCACAAGTTTTTGTGTGGACGTCCTGTGACGGCCAATTACGTGGCGCCGGCGACACAGAGTGTTGCTGGTGCTCCATTGTGCTTTCCGTGCCAGAAGGGACAGTCCTCGTCTTGATCGTCGTGTCGGCCTGAACCGTCGTGTGCAGGCAATGAGGAGGGGTTGTCCTACGAGCACGTAGACTGCCGTCGCGCAGTCGCTGCCTTCGAGCAGCTTGCTGGAACTTTGGCTGGCACCTGTGTATGAAGGAAAAAAGGCCATGTTTTTCCGGTCGCATGCCGCATCTAGCCCAACTTGCCTGCAGGATGAGTGTGGACTCTGAGGCCGCCTTCCGTGCGGATGCACTGCGACTGGGCATCTCCGCGGCTCATGTGGATGCTCTCGTCCAAAAAGGGGTCTCCACACATGCACGGTTCGCTTTCATCTCGTCTTTTCAGCCGGGCTCGGCTGATGAATCCCCGTTCGTGCAGGCACTTCAGAACTATCTTGGGTCGGATCCGAAGGATAGCATGCCTTGCTTCCGGCATCTTTTCTACACCTCCCACACGCTTGCTGTGCAAGAGTTGAAGGACAAGTTTGAGCCTCGTGATGAACCAAAGCGGTTGTCCATGGCGGATCGGGTGGACCGCCTCGAGCGGTTGAAGCGTGAGCTTGTTGGTCTCTCGATTGACAGTTGGATTGAGCCCTCGCATGCCTTGGTTGATAGGGCTGTTGCATTTGCAGAAGAGCAGTGCTTAGGACCGCTTGAGCTGAGCAAGTGCACGTCGAGGGAGTCTGAGATGCGCTCTGAGAAACGCGATCCGGTGACATATCGGATTGAGGGCATTGTCAAGGTGTCCAAGTCCCAGCAAGAGCCTGTGGCCGACACATCTAGCGACCTTCATGTCAGGCTGTGCATGCAAAGGCGGGCTTTGGCATTTCAGATGGCTGGCATTGCAACTTATGTCGAGCTTGATCGTGTCATCTCGCGCTTCTTTGCTCACCTCCTGCGGCCTGTGCTCCATGGCCAGCGTGCGGTGCAGTTGCAACAGGTCGTCGAGGCTGATCGCCTGCTGTGGACGCTTGTTGCTCAGGATACCCGCGGCAAGATACTCACTTCTGGCAAGCCGTTGCCACTTGACGCTGCAGCTGTAAGGTTGTTCGACTCGCCGGATGTTGCTTACACGCTTCTGCCGCGGTCCGGGTCTGGGGGGCCGCCCCCCCCAAAGCCTCCAGCGGGCGAATCTGCTCAGGCAGCCTTGCGGGAGAAGCGCAAAAGGCGACAAGGTCGACGCCCTTCTTCCCAGAATGCTGCTTCTTCAAATCAGCCGGCTAAAGGCGGGGGGAAGGGCTCGGGCAAATCGCTTGATCTCCCTGCTGGGGCTAAGACTCGGGACGCTCAAAATAGGCCTATCTGTTTCCGGTTCAATAGGAAGGCGTGTGACCAGCAAGCGCATGAAAAGTGCGGCCGTGGGCAGCACATCTGTTGGTTTTGTTTCCAAAGGCATCCGGGGGTTGAGTGCTCAAAGGCGTGATCAGCAACCGGGTTGTCGCACAGCAGCGCCGCCGCGGCGCAGCCTCTTTCTGAGGCCCCTGCTTTGGATTTTCTTGGTCCCATGCCTTCGGTTCGGATTGGTGATGTGGCGTTGCGGTTGCCTGCAGGGCATTCGCCCACGGAGTTTCCGCAACCGGAGGCCATGGCTGCAACTTTTGCTGACCCTCCCACCCGGGAGGAAATTTTGTCCCTTGTGCCGCCTCTTGAATCCGAGGTTCCGGGCCGGGGCGCTGCAGGCCCGGCCTCCCTGTCCTTCACAGTTGGTGCGTGGTCTAAGTCCGGTACTACCGGCATCCGCTTGCGGACTCATGCTTTTCCCAATGTCACGCGCGCTCTGGTTCAGTTTGTTCGGGCCCAGGCGCCGACACACACTTTTGCAGCGGTGGCCATTTTTCGTAACCTTCAGACAGATTTACACATTGATGTTAACAACGAGCATGCCTCGCATAACCTGTTGCTGCCGTTGTCGCAATTTTCCGGCGGTTCCGTTTGGCAAGAGCAGTCGGGGGGGGCCGTCCCCTTTCAGACACACACGGGCACCCTCTGGGGCGAGTCCCTCGACGTTGCTTCTGGCCCGCAGCTGCTCGACCCCCTTTGCAGGCATGCGACTTTGGCGTGGGAAGGCGATCGCATTTTGCTCGTTGCCTACAGTCCTGCAGGTTGTGGTGTGTTGTCGAGTCTCTCCATGCAGCTCCGCAGCTTTGGGTTCCCCTTGTGGCCGGTTGCTAGTGTCTTGCCGAGTGAGTTGTCGTTGGCTGGCATCCAGGTGCCCCTTCCGGCTGCCACGCTCAGTCCTGTGGATTTCACCTGTGCGCCTGAGGAGGCGCTCTGTGTGGAGATCTTTTGTGGCCAGGCACGGCTGTCTGCGGCGTGCCGTGAGCTTGGCATGTCTATCCTGCCGATTGATAAGGTTCGCAAAAGTGCGGCTGTTCAGGTCGTCGCTCTTGATCTCACGGATCCTCAGGATCAGCTGGCCTTCTTCGAACTCCTCAGCACAGCCAATGTTTGTGTGGCCCACTTCGCCCCTGTGTGCGGCACGGCGTCGCGGGCACGCGAACGCCCGGCGCCGCCCGGCCTTCAGTTTGCGGCGCGTCCTTTGCGCTCCAGTGCACACCCGCTTGGCCGGCCTGGCTTGAGTGGCGCTCAGGCCGCACGGGTTGAATCGGCGAACGTGCTCTACGCAGTCACATTGGCAGCCATGTGGCTTCTCTGTTTGCGGGGCGCATTGGTGAGTTGTGAAAACCCAACTCATTCCCTTTTCTGGCGTGTGGCAGACATCATGGCTCAGGACTTGCCTGATCCAATGGCTTGGTTTGCGCTTGTGGACAATGTTTTTGACTCGTGCATGTATGGCGGGGAGCGTCGGAAAGCCACGACATTCCGTGCTTCACCTGGCTTGTGCGACGTGTTGCGGGCCCGCTGCGACTCCACACACACTCATGCATCTTGGGAGCCGTACAATGGTCCTTCTGGTGTTGTCTTCCCATCCGCACAGGAGGCTGCGTACCCAAGGCTCCTGGCACAGGCCTTCGCGGCTGAGGCGCACGCAGCACTTTTGCAACTTGGGGTTCAGTTCGAGGCTTCCTCCATTGGTGAAGGTGTCAAGGCTCCTCGGCATTTGCGCGAGTTTGCGAAGCGGCCCTTGCCTCCACTCTTGGCAGAGTATTGGCTGGTCTGTCCTCCACAGTGTGTGCCGCCCGGCGCTGTGTGCAAACCGCTCCCACCGCATGTTGTCTTTCCGAAAAGAGGGGATGTTGTCAAGACTGTCAACAGCAAGGAGGAAGTGGTAGCATTGTTACCCTTCGCTGAGGAACCTGGGACAGTGGTGGCGCTCTTGGGGGGGAATGCCACGGGAAAGGAACCTTTGGTTGGTGTTTATCGCACTCCAAGTCAGACCGTGAAAGCCACAGCGATGTTGCAGCATCCCTTGCAGTTGGCTCTTCCCTTGCCTGACAATATGGTTGAGGCAGTCCTAAGGGTTCTTAGTTTAGGGCCTAGTGGGTTGGTTGACCTTCGCCTGAACGTGCTTCGGACTCTCCAATCTAGACGGCGTGACTTGCAGCCCGATGAGAACAAGCTCCATGCGGGTATGCATCCAGATTTGGCTAGGGTTCTTGAGGGCAAGTCGACGTTGCTGTGGGAACAGTTGCTGGCAGAAACCCAGTTTCCAGATCCGGGACTCATAGCAGAGGTTAGGCAGGGGTTCGAACTCGTAGGCCCAGCGACACCGTCTGGGGCGTTTCCAAAAGGGGTCAAGCCGGCGCAGCAAACTACGCAGCAGCTGAAGAGTCAGTGCGTGTGGAGGCGCAAGGCCACGGTGGCGCGCTGTGGCCCGACTGGAGATGGGCGTTCTGACCATGAGCTGTGGAAGCAGACCCTTGAAGAGGTGGATCAAGGCTGGATAGCTGGCCCCTTTGAGGATGAGCCTTCTGTCAGTAAGCATCTGGGTACTAGCGAGTGGTTCTGCACTCGGAGATTTCCGATACTCCAGGGAGAAAAGGTGCGCATCATCGATGATTGCCTGCAGTCGGGTCTAAATTCAGCCTACGCTGCCTTCAACAAGCTGAAGCTTATGGGAGCGGATCACTTCATATCCCTGGTGCTTTTGTTGATCCGTGCAGCAGCGACTCCAGGGTCCCAAGTCAAGTTGGCCTCGGGCAAGGTCCTTGAAGTGGTCCGCCATCCGGGGTGGGGTACAGGCTTGGGCTTGCTGGGAAAAACGCTTGATCTGGCATCTGCATATAAGCAGCTTGGGTGTCGACCCGAAACAGCTTTCAATCGTGTGCTTGTAGCCTGGGACCCTGTCCGGGAGAGGCCCGCTTACTTTGTGGGCACGGCCCTCATGTTCGGGGCGACTGCATCGGTCTTCTCCTTCAATCGCTGCTCTGCTTCCCTTCATCATTTGGCAGTCACCTTGGGCGCCATTTGTTGCCCCGTCTACTTTGACGATTTCCCCTGTGTGGAGCCAAGCCTGACTGCGGGATCGTCTGAGGCCTTTCTGGTGGGGCTACTAGAGGTGCTTGGATGGCGCGTAGCCTTGCAGCCCAAGAAGAATGCTCCTTTCTCTCGTGTGTTCGACATGCTGGGCGTTAGGGTTAACCTTGGTAGGGCTGATAAAGGGTTGGTTGAGGTGCGTAACAAGCCAGAAAGGTCTGAGGCTCTGAAGGCGGAGGTCAGCAGACTTCTGGAGCAAGGGTTCATTCGGCGGAGTGAGGCTTCAGCGCTGCACGGTCGACTTAACTTTGCTCAGGGTCAACTGCATGGCTGCCCTTTCAAGCCGGCGATGGCCTTCTTGTCTAGGGTCTCAGTGGAAGGCTGGAAGGAGGACATGTGTACCGACATGGCTTTGTCTTTGGCCTACGTTGCTGCCTGCCTTGAGTGTGAGGTCCCGCGGCTTGTGAAAGCAGTGGATGAACGGCCGCCTGCCAGGGTCTTCACTGATGGCTCATGGGAAGGCCAGGATGGGGGCTCGGGAGCAGTGCTCTTCCTCGGGCCTAGTGACATGGGGTCTGTGGCAGAGGTACTCGTACCTCCAGACTTGACTCACCTCTGGAGGGAGCAAGGGAGGTCGCAGCTTGTGTCC